GATATTTTTTCGAGACATTGAACCACTTTAGAGGGCATGTCTCGATGAAATTTCAAAATTTGTTAAAATAAAAATCACTTTTCTAATTGTAAGTACTAACGATAAAATCATAATGTAAATCTGTAAATCATAATGCCGTAAACGATAAAATCATAAATAGATGTGCAGCAAATCAGTGTTAAATCGCGGTGTCAAAAATAAATATGTAGAATGCAAGTGCGTATTATATTTTATCGTATATTTATTTTTGATACTGCGATTTAATGCCGATTTGTATCATATGTTTTTTGAACTAAAAAATTTAATTCGGAGAGCTTCTTAAATTTCAAGATCCCATATAGTGAGCGGAAAATTCGACTAACGCTCTTCTTAACCAATTTTAGTTTTTTTTTTTTTAATTCACTCGAAATTGGATGAGCTATAAGCCCATTGTACGTGAATTTTGATTACGGTTCAAATTAGCAGCAACAAGGGACAAATAGTGACTCCAATCTAAATGATAGTACCATTAAAAGTCGTCAATAATGGTCAAATAAAAATGTATACAAAGCTAGGTATGCATTTGCATCAACTTTACAAAATGTATTTGTGATGTATTCTATTTTCAATTATTAGTGGTGTTAAAGAAAAAAAGAAAAGGATTTATGGAATGGAATGGTAAATATAATATATAACTCATAAAATCTCAGTAGCGCGCGCGAAGCGCGTGTCTGTTATGTTCCAGTTATATAAAAAATTCAGATAAAAAATTTTACATTTGGTAAATGTGTCGATGAGGGAACCCCCTCCAATGACTTTGACCTTGACATATGTTGTCAAGGTCATGACCCTGAGTAACCTCCAACAGGTTTTAGTCGTCGCTCGTCCTTCGTTAAAAAGTTATTAACAATCATACTTTTAAAATAAACGTATTATTTCTGCTATACATGTATGATATGAAGTACTAATCTACACCTTTCCCTGTTCAGAAACGTTAAACTTTCCACGCGAAGTAACTTTCACCCCTCCCCCCCCCCTGCACAGAGGCACACGACTTCTACGATTGTACTGTTACTATGATAGTACTGTCGGGGCAGACTTCTGTCGACGGTGTGGGTGCGGGGGGGTGGCCGAAGGCTTGCACCTGCTTGCACCTGCCCGTGTGTGTGTGTGTGTGTGTGTGTGTGTGTGTGTGTGTGTGTGTGTGTGTGTGTGTGTGT